GAAGGAAGGAAGGAAGGAAGGAAGGAAGGAAGGAAGGAAGGAAGGAAGGAAGGAAGGAAACAACTGTTGATGTGGTTGAACATATTTGTAATTGACCATAACTAACATGGATGTGTATTGGAATACTTTGCTATATAGCCTCTCAACAATCTTGCCAGCTAACACAGGCGATCAGAAACTAACTCCTGTGAGAAAAGACTGAGGAAACTGGGAGTGCTTAGCCTTGAAAACAGTAATTGATGTGAGTTATAGTAGCACCCATCAAAAGCCTGAAAAGATAGCATACCAAATAATGCTATGATAGATTTCCTCTCATTCCAGAGTTCAGACATAGAACAAATTACAGGAAAGCAGATTTTAGACTAATGTTGGGAAAAAATAATAGAGTATTTCAGTTATAGATATAATGTTTCAGAGAGGCAATGACATATTCAAACAGAAGCTGAGCAGATGTCTGTTGGAAATGTTCTAAATTAGACTCCTGTACAGAATATGTGAGTCAGGAGAGTTTGTGTACTCAGTGACACCTTCTAACTCTATGATTCTTTTTTTTAAAAAAAGTTTTCTTACATTGAGTTCAGTTCCATCAGCTAAGCTGTAGTCAAACTTCTCTCCCAAAATGAACACTATATCTATGGTGCGGAAATTGCTGGATTCATGGATGGTGAACTTGTTTCCTTCTTGTTTGATTGTGAGCTTCAGGTTGTCATGGGCTCCAAGCTTCCTCTTCACTAAATTAATACCTATGAAGGTTAAGATGATTAAGAGTCAATTACACAGCAGGATTCTTTCTCTCCCAACTTATTTTTAAACAAATTGTCTAAATAGGTTGGCTAGAGCTGGACAATTTGGAGCCAGTCCTCTGTAATTCTTGTTTGTTTAGGTTTTGGTTTTCAGGGTTAATGCAGCCAGTTTACAAGGATCGGTTTATAGTTTCTTAGGAATCTTTAATCAATGTCCAAATTATACATGATGTATGTCTCAGACTACTAATGTGATATCTCTTCTCTTTTCTATATCTCCCAGTGGTTGAGTTCACAAACCAAACCAAATACATTATATCTTAGTGTGATGTGTAAGCACAGTCTTTGACCAAATACTCTCTAGCCCCCCCCACCTAACAATTGTCAAATGCTTTTTTTATGCAATCTGAAGAGAATCCAGAACATTGTCAAAGGTTTAAATTGCTTAGATCAGCTAAATATTTGTGATCTAATTCTTCTGAACTAGAAAACCATGTTATTACAAAAAAAGGAAGCTCTGGGTGCAAAATTAATTAAAACTGCATAGCGTTATAAAGTATTTAGACTAGTTTTGTAATGAAAAGCCTAAGGAAAGAACCAAAGGAAAACTGGGCATCAGTACAAGCACGGAGATGACAAGTACTGCTTAGTAAGAACCGAAAACAATCATTCTAGGGTCAGCAACTTATGGGAAAATACATAAGCATAAATTCCATTGAAAAAGGAAGTATGTACTTAGAGGCGAACCTCTGAAACAGTGTATGTCAATGTTTGAGACAACAGTAATGTGAATGTTACAAATGGAGGATGGAATCAAAAATCTTGCTGGAAGACTTCTGACCCTGATGTCCGTCTGCTGCATACCACCTTCCCCAGACTCCAGAACAGAGTCTGTCCAGACTGGTTGTGAGATGGTATGTGACAGGAATTAATTATTGAAACTAGTTAAAAAAAACTAAATACTTTCACTGTTCGATATTTGTGTCCATGGTCTACTGTTGCCCAGGATCCTAAATCTTTTAGCATTGATCCCTGAGTGTAACTGATCTTACATCTGGATGTAGAAAGGTTAGATCCCTGAGAGTCTCTGACAGTTTCAGGAAGCCAGTTTTCAAGAAAGTAGGAATCTATTAAGAAAGTCAGCAATGACTTCCTACCTATAACAGCAGGATGACAATATAAATTAGGGAGAAAAAGGAAGAAAGAAAATTCTTACGGAGTAGATCTGTACAAGAAAGTAAAGAACAGGGATGGATATATTTGGAAGCAAGAAAATCAAGTCCCTAAGAATTGCAGAGGCAACATGCAAAAAACAGCTTTGGAGACTTTAGTTTAAGCCCTTCTTCAGTCATGAAGAAAAAGTCATTTGTCAAACTTGTACATTTCTGTTTCTGACAAGAAGGAATATACGATCCTAAAATCATGCAGGTTTATCAGCAAGTCTTTGAAGGAAGGAGAATAAGAAAAAGTTGGAATGAAAGACCAATGGTTAATAGTGAACAATAAAGAAGTATACCAGGGATTAGCAACAAGCTTTTTGAATTGCATCAGTAAAGTTTTTTTTTTTCACAAGAAGCAAGGAAATGCATCTCTTACCCATTACTTCCATGAATTTTTCATAATTTTCACTCTTCTCTACTTTCCAGGTGCCATCAAATGCCATGGCTGTTAGCTGTTACAAGGAAGCTTAGAACTAAAGAGGCTTTTCTATCCAAACTAAAGTAAGGCTTTCTGAAGGGGTAATTTATATCATTACTTATCTTGAAAGCAATTCATACACTGATGTGGCTGACTAAAGTGCAATTAGTCACGTGACCCTATAAGATCCAACTACTAGAATGTATTCTAATCCTTCATAATTAGAATAAATCTATTATATATAATTCTAAATGTTGAAAGTATTGCCTGTATTCTTTGCTAGAGTTGTGGTTACTAAGTACTCTTTTTCTCTCTGAATAGGATGAACAACTCAGAAAAATAAGCTAAGAAGACTGCTGGTAAGGAGAAAGAATAAAAATCAAGATGCTGCTTTCTTTAAACAAAGCAAATCTACTGTACTGTTGCATTTTGTCATGTTTTTATTCCTGATATATACTCGAGCAAAGAGAACAACTCTGCACTCCCTTTCAAATATGTGTTCACTTTGGAAACTGTTCCACTGAGTAAGACAAAGATACAAACAACGGGAGACAGATGATTTACCCTGGGAATCATTGATTATGGCTTTCCTGCACCCTAATCATGTAATGAAACTGCTTTTTCTGTTCTGAAATGTAGGAGATAGAGCTAAGGCAGAAAGTGATTTTAATGTAGAAAGCCAATCAAACCAAATCACACTGAGCTGAGTAATGATGTGCTATTTGCACGTACATGTGTGTTCATAACTCCCCCAGCCCCTCTCCCATTTTAATACAAGACTGATTTCACAGTAACTGCATAATAATCCTATTTCCTAAATGTTCTATCTGACCTTTTAATCTAAACAGCAATGTAATATTCATCATGTTTGAGGAAGTAACGTATTTCAAGAATTTTAGGAGTTAGAGCTAGACACAAAATAAGAAGCATAAGAAATGCAAACCACCATATCCATGTACAATATAGACTGTTGGGGAAGAGTGGGAACAGAGGCTCTAATTCCTCTTAATTCCCTGTCACTGCTGCAAGATGAATATTGCTCCACAAATCTGAGATGAACGCTGGCCTATATTTACTTGGCTAGATAAATTTTGGCCCTGGTCTGTTTAGATGTCTGTTCAGATTGCCTGACTGGACTTTGGCACCTTTCAGCTACAATTCTCAACCTATATTCTCACAGATAAGATAAGGACTTCACTACGTTGCAATCAACTAAGTGAGATAAGAAGTTTGGGGACCATGATACAAATGATGGACAATCATTCTTTCTGCAAAGTCTCTTGATGGACCTGTTGTTATGGCCAGAACTGTCAATGCCACCCTTGAGAGAATATCAATAATCTGTAATGATTTTGCAATTGTGCATTATATCAGCAGGTAATTTTATGATTAGTTCAAGCAAAAAAAAAAAAAACACCCTTCCATTCACTTCAACTGTTTCAGAGCAGTAAGAGAAAGTTTCCTGGAGAATAAAATGCAAAGTGACTGATGATTTCTGGATAAAAAGGAAGTAATGCCTTAGATATTTTTGAATGACCAGGTATAAAGTCCCTCAGAAAATCCAAAAGTGAGTTTGCCAGATGACTGTGAAGTGCTCCGATTTTGTTTCCACTGTTGAGGTTTGCTCCAGGATTTTAATAAGTACTCTGAATATAGAGGGAATTCAAATTTAGTAGGGTGCACTTATACACAAGGATAGGCTTTGTTTTAACACATCTCTTACAGATTCTTTAAACACTTTAAAATGTTAAAATTGATAGCCAGTATTAGACCAGGTCCTGTAGTATAGGTGGTCCTCGTTTAGCGACCACAATTGGGACCAGCAACTTGGTCGTTAAGCAAAGTGGTCGCTAAGTGAAACTGCAGCTGTGCTTGCTTCAGTTTTCCTTTGCTATATAGACCTGCAAAGGTTGTAAATGCGAGGATTGGTCATAAAGTTACTTTTTCATCACTGTCATAACTGCAAAGAGTTATGCAAAGAGAAACTGCAAAGGGAAAACTCCAGAGTTAGATTTATTTAAAGCTATGTAAGGAAATAGAGGAAATGCAAAGCTGCAATGAATTAAATTACAACTTGTATTAACTAAATGAGAGAGATATAAGGCAGATTTAACAACTTGCAAAAGAACTTCTGGTGATGTGAAAAAAAACCCCTAAAGGTCATATAAATGTTTATAGAAATCATCCCTGAGACAGATAAAACCATGATTATTTTTTTTATAATATATGGAGAAATGTGAGCAGATAATTGATGCTTAGTACACAGATTAGCTCAAATTTCTTTAAGCTTTTTAAAGTGTTGGTCACATTTGGAATTTGTGAAATGACACGGATACCAGCACAAAATGCCTTTCTTGGATGAATCCTTTATTAAATGGCTGCCATCACAAAATACCTATTTATAGGAATACATATATTCTAAGAATGTTTATAGGAATCAGAACATATGTTTCACTGTCAAATCCAAACCTTTGAACTTACTAATTCAGGATCACATTCCTTCCATCTTTCTTCTCTAACTCCCAGTGCATAAGATTCACTGACCATACATTCCCAGCACAGATGACATGCCACAAAGCAAAATGCAACATGCTGCGAACTCTTTCTCAATTTGTGTTCTTTTATTTTCAGGATTTTCTTAAATTATTAACTTCTCTCTGGATCACCACTAAATGTTGTCTTGCATATTAACATTGCAACACATCCACACAAACACATGATTTGGTGTAGTGGTTAAGGTGCTGGCCTAGAAACCAGGAGACTGTGAGTTCTAGGCCTGCCTTAGGTATGAAAGCCAGCTGGGTGACTTTGGGACAGTGGCTCTCTCTCAGCGCAACCCACCTCACAGGGTGCTTGTTGTGGGAAAAATAGGAGGAGGAGGGAGTATTAGGTATGTTCACCACTGAGAGAGAGAGAGAGAGAGAATATACATTCACAGGCAAAATGTTAGCCTGTTCTAAAGCTGTCTGCCATCTTTCTTTTCTAAGACTGTTTTCTCTTTCTCAATCCAGGCTCAGAGGAATTCTCCAGAACTAAAGATAGCACCTAGAGCTTTGCTTTGAAGTCATTCCAATTGCCAGAAAAGAGAAAAAGTTAATTCAAATAAGCACCTCAACAGGTACCAAGAAAGATTGGGTTGTAATCCCAAGTTTAGTACATGGACATGGCTTAGAGATCAGTGAACAGGAACCACCCATTTCTTGTTTTTGTATCATAAAGGTGGAGGAACTTCCTCTGTAGATTTAAGGATAATTCTTAGAGACTTACTCTCTCTAAAATAATATTACAGAGAGTTTTAAGGTTCAAACAAGTTATGTTAAGAGACAGAAAGAAAGGACCTGCAACTTTTACATTCTTAGGCTATAGCAATTCAATCCAGCAAGAATTGCATAATCATATTCTTTTGGAATCTGTGTTACTGTCACTGTGTCCATTCAGATAATGTTTTGTTTAAGGTCCACATATTCATTGAGATAATGATCGCATGTCCTTGATTGCCCAGTAATAATTTGCAGATGAAATGTTTCATGTAGCGCAGTTACTACCTTCTTAAGGCACTAGGAAATAAAATATTAACCAACAGAGACATCTAATCAGCTAATCACTGATAGTTAAATGTATAAAACATAAAAGTTGCACCACAAAAATGAAATGATATTCCAAAGATCAGAGATCAGATTCCCTTTCAGGGCCTGAAGTATACATAATTTGTTGCAGAAAAAAGGCTTGACATAACTAAAGTGAATGGGATCAAACCCAGAATTTGGTTTAGAATTTTAAATAATGCATCCTTCTTCTAATCATATACCAGTGTATATATAATACTAGCCTTTGTCTCCGTAAAGAAACAGTGAAGTGTGGAATACAGATGTTATTATCAAAAGAATCTACTTTTTGATGATGAATAATTTAGCTATCAGAGGAATAGCCATGTTAGTCTACTGCAGCACAATCAACATTATCAAGAACTTTTCTAAGAGAAGTAGAAATCTTCAATTTGATGCAAGTCCCCACTTCTAGCCCATCTGCCTTTTTCTTGGGTATACCTGGCTGGATTACTGGGTGTTTTGGCCTTAGGCTCCTGTTGCTAAATGCCAGGAGACTCCTGGGACTAACATAGGATTGAAAAACAAAGCAAGATAGATAATGAATATTAAATCACAACAGCATAATATAAAACCTCACAAACTGATGCCAAAAGCACAGTCCTGCGAGTAACTGAGCCCTGTGCCATGAAGGGCTTTATCTTCAGCATTTTAAATTGCATCCAGAATCCAACAGGAAAGCAACACAGCTGACAAAGTACCATCACCCATCTATAACTACCTGTGCCACCATAATCTGGGCCAGTTATAGCTTTTGTGCTCCACGTAGAATACATTTCAACAGTCCAGTTGGGAGGTCACCAAGGCATGAGTTATCGTGAGCAGCGCCTTCTGATCCAGGGACAGCTGCAGTTAGCATGCAAAACGGAGTTATGCAAAAAGCCCTCTTCACCTTGAGTACCATCTGATGTTCAAGCAGGAGATGAGAGTGCAAGAGGACTCCAAATTACATACCAGTTCTGTCTGGGGGAATGAAACCCATAATCTCCAGAAACACCCAGTCTCCAGAACTGGGGTCCCCTAAAACCCACAATCACTTAGTCTTGGTTGGGTTCAGCTGAAGCCTGTTCTTTCCTATTCAGGCCCCCACAGCCTCCAAACACAGGGAAAGAACCTTGACATATCACTTGGTTGGCTTGAGGTAGAAATGTAAAGCTGTATTTCATCAGTGTATTAATGATACTTAGCCCCATGTTGACAGCTGACATTGTCCAGCAGCTTCATGTAGATGTTAAATAGGAGTGGAGAGAGGGTGTAGCCCAGAGGAGTCTGTGAGCCTTGTGAGGTAGACCAGACAGGAAACATGGCCAAATGAGCTAATTCTACTTAACTGTAAGGTAACATTAACAGAATCTTGCAAGTCTGAAAGTATATCTCTCCCCCCATCCACTTTACAGCCCAATAAACTAGAGAGGGTTTCTTCTGAGCCTCTTGTCCCACCCACATTCCTTTTGCAG